AAACAGCTTATAGAATAAGGATATAGAGAAAAAATATTTTTGCACAGCAGTTCAATGTGTTTGTGTTTTAACCTAAGTTTTATTACAAAAGAGTCAAAAGTTAAAAACATTTAAAAGTTTACAAAATTGAAAAATCACAGTAAGCTAAGGTGTATTTATTAGTGAGGAAAGAACTTTGTTTATAAATTTAGGGTAGCCTAAGTGTCCAGTGTAAAGTCTGCAGCAGAATATGCAGTCGTGTCCTGGGCCTTCTCATTCACTCACCACTCACTGACTCTCCCAGAGAAACTTCCAGTCCTGCAAGCTCCATTCATGGAAAGTGTCCTATACTAGTGTGCCAGTTTTTATCTTTTATATCGTATTTTTACTGTACCTTTTCTATGTTTAGTTATGTTTAGATACACAGCTACTTACCATTGTGTTACAATTGCCTGCAGTATTCAGAACAGTAACACGCTGTGCAGGTTTGTGGCCCAGGAGCAATGGCTGTACCATACACCTGAGTGTGTCGTAGGCTCTACCATCCGGGTTTGTGTAAGTACTCTGTGATGTTCACACAATGAGTAAATTGCCTAACAACACATTTCTTAAAGCTTATAGCCTTCATTAAGTGATGCAGGATTGTATACAGTATTGCTCATGAATAATGTATTTTTAATCTATATAAATGGCAACCATTTCTACCTACTTGTGTCTATACCGGTCCGTGCCCCTTGTTCACTGTTCCTCTCTGCTGCTGCTCATCACTCCACAGGTGGCAGCCCTCGTGTCATATCCACCTACTCCCTGAGGGATGGGCACTTTGACTGCTGTCACCGGCAAGCTGTGATAGAGCCCTCATGGGGTCTCCTAATACCCAGCATAAGCCTTTCCCTGGGAATGTCCTCCAGGATTGCTGGACGGAGGGAGCATACACGCTTACGTGTTCATTAAATACTGCCAGTGCTACAGTGTTATATGAAATTTTAATTATTGCCAACCTGATGGCTATCAAGTTGTATCTTGTTGTTTTAATAGGCACAGATCTGATTCTTATGAATCTGAGGTTCCTTTTTTAAACTTGGTATACATGGAAGTGTCTCTTTCAGGGACTTGCTTGTTCACGTACTCTAAGTGCAGCAGCAAGGAGGCAGGTAGCAGCGTGAGAGTGGATGTTAGAGCCAGCCTGCCTGAGCCACAGCCTGGCCCTTCCATTTACTGACCATGTGACCCTGAGCAAGTTTCTTCATGTCACTATACCTTAGCTTCCTTGTCTGTAATAAATAAAAACAGCAACTACCCAATAGATCTGTAAAGATTAAGTGAAATAATAATTATAGGGCACTTAGAGTGCCTGGCAAATAACAGAACTTTGATAAATGTTATATTTACTAATATA